TGAAGAGAGAGATAGGGGGGGGAGATAAGAAGAGGCCAAGAGAGAGATGGATGAGTACTCTGAGAACAACTGAGAAAGTGGTTTGTGTTTCCTACCACCCATCCAACCCCATAAAATCTATTGATGCAAGGTGCAGGTGGTTTGTTTTGTACTCAAAATGAGTGATGACTACACTGAGTGAGTGAATGAATGAGTAAGAGAGAGTCCTCTTAATTTGCAGAAGAGCCGACAGGGTCACGTTAGTACTCTCTCACACCCTGCAACCCTGGTCCAGTTCCTAATTATTGCTCTCTGAAACCCTAAACCACCACAAAATTAATGTGTTTTATGTGTGAGACAGAAAGAAAGAAAGAAAGAGAGAGAAAGAGAGGAGAGAAAAAGAAAAAGAAAAAGAAAAAGAAAATATGTCAGATTTGACGTTACTCTGTTTGCCTGGAATCTTTCCTGCAACGTTCCTCAAATTTTTCCCAGCTTAAAGACTTTTATCTGTTTGAGATTTGATTATCAGACGCAAAACCCAGTCAGTTCCTAATTAAACAGGCCTTAAAACAAGGGTTTAAGATAAAGACAACGAGAGAATCCGAGGGTTTATCTAAAGGTAATAATATAAAAAAAAGGTTACATGTCATTACCAAGTGATTAAGAGTATTTGACTCTGCGCATGAACAACTTCTAATTATCTATGAAAGTGGGGTTGTGTGATTTGATTCTCAACCGTTGATGTAAGTAAAACTCTACACTAACTTCTAATTACATTAACGGTTAGAATCACTCACACGCGCGCGTGACAACTATTCTTAATATTTTTAAGGAAGAAATATAGGGGTGAGACTAAGATTTTATTTCCCTCTTTTTACCATCTCTCTCTTTTGGGTGGGTGTGTGAGGGTGCTAAAGTGAGAGAGAATGGCATGCTGGTCCACATAACAGCATTTATTTTGTTTTGTTAGTGTGTGTGTCAGAGGTTGTGTTTGTGCGCCTGCCGCAGTTTCGTTCTTTCCCATTGCAAATTGATGCTGTATTTGCTGCCATTATTGGCACTTTCACTCCTTTTACTTCATCTTCACACTCCATATTGTGTTGCACTATTGTGCTTGGTTTTGTGCTACTGTTTCTACACTAGTTATCTTAGCCCATGTGTCTAAAGAAACAACCCATTTTCAACACTTTGCTATTTGGTTTGGCCCCCCTCTTTTCCTTAGGACCCGCATTATTTCCTTCTAGTCCACGCCACAGTTCATAAGGTATTGTATGTATACTAGTATACCAATCTTTGAAAACATGGTGATGTAGGACTTGTTCAAATGCTAAATTGTTAAGAATACGGTTTGTCCAAAAGTTGATGAGAAAGCGATCAAGAGTTAGAAAGACATACTCAAATTATGTGTTTGACGTTTGGAGAAGTGGCACAACGAATATTTAAGTCAAGATGAACAAAGAGTGAAATCCAATTTATCTGCTCAAATCTAAACCCTTGTCGATTTGTTAATTGTGATTCTCGATGCATCACATGTTTAAAAGAATTAACATTTCTACAACCACCTTACGCAACTAGATGACATTGTAATTCATCTACTTATTATTGTAAATTTGATCGATTGTTCATTTCTTGATTACTCAAACTTTTGGAGATGGTGACCCTCTAACGTAGTATTAAAAAATTTCTTTGCAAGAACGTTATGTTCAATTCTCATTCCCCATCCAATTTCTTTGCTACTTAGTGTGGTTAGAAAATATGACCCTTCCAGGATTAACTTTTAAATTTTGTTTGTAAGGGGCATTCCTCATCCACATTTCATTCTTATGCATGGTACCAATAACAGAGTATGATGTGGGGGTCTTAATTAAGATGTTAATTATCACTATCTAATAATTTGATAGTTCTTAAATTGTACAACCAACCACCGTGTTCAATCTATTAGACAAACTTGTTAGGTTTCCACTAGCGATGTCTTGGGTTGTATATATATATTTTATTTTATTTTTTTTAATTTTTTTTTTTTGTCTGAATCACGATATGGTCCTGGCTGGGCCCCAATTATGAGTGGCACCTTTAAGCCTTAACCACAACCCAAACTAATCCCCGCTCACACCGAGTCGGTCCGTAAGGGGTAAAGTGCTAGCCAAAGTGGTGACTCCATATGAGAGCAGGGATTGAACTCCTGACCTCTCTTAAGGAATGAGAATGCCGAACCACTCACACCTATCACCTTAGTTATATAATTTTTCTTTTGAGTGATATGAGTTGTATATATAATTAAATCAAACATCTAGCTGAATTTCCATTTTGGCATACACTTCATTTAAAATGATATTAAAATGATTGTATTAAAAAAAAAATGATAATGTATGACAAAAGGCAATCCTATCCAAATTCAAATGTTTAGGGAGCAAATATTCAAAGTCTCCCCGCTGGCCATATGTTTGCTATTCAACATCTGTGACTTAAAAATAAATAAAAATAAATATAGATCGATTATCATGATTATTATCCAAGCATCTAATCTAATTAAGTCTTTTGGCATGTTTATTAATCCGTAATCGGATTAAGAGGAATTGAATTGAGGAGCAGTTGGATTCAGAAGAATTAGATTCCATATTCATATTGAAGTTGTTTACTAAATCATATGGATTGAGAAGACTTAGATTCCGAATTTCTATTGAAGTTGTTGACTAAACCATTTGGAATTGGGGTTGGAGTTTTGCTAACTACTAAAATATCCTCGTTGTTGTGTTAAAGTAGATGACAAATTTGAAATTTGTAAAATTATGTGAGAATATAATAGGTAAAAAAAGATGAATTCTTAATGGATTAAATCTCTAGAAAATAGAATATCACTTCCAACTCAAGAATTGAATTCCTCTAAAATTAGGAATTATAAACCCCACTTCTTTTTTAATTTCTCGATATAAAGTAAACACATAAATCCTTCATACTTAGTATTCAATTCATGATTTGTAAAGTTGTGTGGCTGGCCAGTTGCATGCACCCAATTTTGCACTCTCTGACACAATGTTTGTTTGATACAATTCTTATTAATTTGAATTACTATATTTGAGATAAGTTCTAATGGTTTTTTAGGGCTGAGTTTTATATTCCAAGAATATCTCGCGAGCTTCCTTGATCTGTCTAAACCATTTCCTCTGGTGTGCTTGAGGGAACAATTTCCAAGTAGTTAAGCCTTGTTTAAATTAAAGGAATAAGATCTGTGATTAAACTAATCAGACAAGCTTTTCTTTCCTAATCAGTGCATGCAGACAAGTAATTAACTGCGGGGATTTTGGAGACGTGGCAGAAACCCAGCCAAGTGGCTCTATTTATTCATTTGGGACTGTGCCAAGTGTCCCTGTCTCACTTTTGTTTTGTTTGCTGTATTCAATCTGGGGAGGTATTTAACAGGTGAGGAGGGGCCAAGCCAGGGTTGGCAGGAGCTGTCTTTGATTAGCCAAAGGGGTTCGTGGTCTTAGTCTATGGTTTCATTTTCTAGGTCATAATAAAGTTGTTACAGTGGGCCTAATGTTGCTTATTTATGACCCAGAAAATACTTATTATTTATTTATTTATTTATATTTATAATCAGCACCCCTAATGAACCAAGTTCTTGGTTGGGTTTGTCTTTGAATAACATTAGCCAAAATGAGATGAATTTTGTGATGTTTTGCGAGGCTCCAAGCCGACTTCAAAAAATCAGATTCTGAAGTGACATAACCTTACAGATGGGTAATAATAGAGGCTGGAAAAATAAAAGAATAGGTACTTCTACTTCTTTATGATCAGGTTGAGGACCACATATGCTGAAGCCTCAGTTGCATTTTCCTTTTCCACTAAGTGGTGAAGAAAATACTAGTAACTGTCAATATTCTTGATCCAACAACAGCATGTATTTCTGTTTATTTCAAATACTAAAAATAAATAATAATAATAATAAAAATGGTGTTAGGTTTTGAGGGCCGATACCCGAATTTTCTAAATAAAGTGAAGTAATCTACCACTGAAGTTATAAGTGTCACGAATAAATTTTACTAATCTAAAAAGCTCAAAATATAAGTCCTAGAAATTCAAAATGCATCGACATAAAACCTTGAAAGCCAAAAAGACGACAAGAAACACAAAGGTTATTTTGTGTATTTGATTCTTCTTATCATTTCTGCTTTATGGATTTGGAGAGAGAGGTCGGGGAGGGGGGGTCCTATGCAATTTGGACGGGCATGGGACACCAAATGTTCCAAAGAATAAAGAGAGCCAAATCGTACGGATGGAGTAGAGAGGGCTTTTTATTTTATTATATATTTTTCCAAAAATCTCAGGAATTAGTCTGAGAGTTGAGACAAGGAAATCTATAACATTTGGATCCACGGATTTGAATGAGTCACATCACTCTGCGCATGCACGTTTTATGGTGTGTTATGCATTTAGTTTGGTATTTTGGTGGTAAAGGTCATGACTGGTGCGTGCGAAGCCACCACCAATCACACCTCCACTCTCCACTTTTCTCATTTTTCTTCCTTTCCTTTACGTAAACAAGGGAGTGTGGAGCATCATCGGTCAACTATATACTCATTAAGTGGTCCTACCATTCTCTATACTCACAATTTAACTCAAACCCTAACGCTAACGGATGTGAATGGATCGAATTTTGATCTGAATTTGATATGAGTAATGTAAGATTGATAAATTGAGATTCTCGATTCGATAATCTATATATAATCGAAATTTGAATCCGATGTTTATCATATATAAAGCCTAAGTGCATTTGGAGAGAAAGAAACCTAAGAGCCCACCAGCACTTTTTTAAGGGCCAAATATAAGAATTTAGGTGTAAGATTTGATGTTTAGCATTGGAGATGACCTCATCAAATGTACTACTGTTAGCATAACAGCGATTTGAATTATTTACTGCTGTCATGTCTAATTCTTTTGTCATCTAAAAAGAATCCCTCCTAGTTGAACATTGACTTGGGCATTTATTTTATAGATCATGAAAGTCGCATCTTACATTACATCCCGCTTCATATACAGGTTGGAGGATGGGCCAAACTGCCACAAGTCTAAAACTATACACAATAAACTTGTGTGGGCCATCAGCTGCCTACAACCCAAGGTAGCCCAAGATCAGTTTTTGAAGGGGCCACAATGTTATTTCATTAAATTAAGTGAAGTTACAATTTCGGAGGAATCGTGTGATTAATATGAAAGTCCACATCTAAGTGCCTTTGTCTGCATGGTTTTCTGCCTTTAATAAGATCCCTTCACTCTGCAAGCATGTGGTGGTTAGCAGATATGCATGATCCAAATCAATCTATTACTCAATCCGATAAGATTAAGAGCACTATCAAACTATCAAAAGCAAAGCTTCCCCTATCTAAACACCCGAAACTCTATCTGAAACATAGGAAGTAAAGTAGGGATCAAATTGCAAAACTGAAGTCAGTATCGGATATGAACAAGAATCTTTACGATGTATCCACGATATCAATCATTCTTCAAGGACTAGCAAGTTTCCTTAAGTGTCATAAACAGAATATTTGGTTCCCTACTATACGGATACGGACACGGCAATACGACATGAAACGACACGGCGATACAGAAAATCTCTAAAAACTAGGATACAATACGTCATGGATACAAGAATTAAAAATATATAGTAATAAAATATATATAATTCAAAAAATATTTTAAATAACATTCATTTCACAGTTCACTCAAGGATCAAATCCACGCAAATCCTCCAGCAATTACAACTCAATCAGGATCAAATCTCCTTCATCCTACAACCAATGAGAGTTTCTGTATATACTTAATGTACAAGTCAACTGTAAACACACAGGTTATTCTCCAGATTCCTACTCCCACTTATCTGAAAAGCCGGATACACGTATCCTTTGACTCCGATATGTATCCGACGCTTATTGGAGTGTATCATACGCATATCTAGGTTCCCTGGATCTTAAAGAAGGTAAACAAATAAGATAATGAACACGGTAAATAATGCCTCTCTATTGCAGAATAACATTTATGTGCTTATCATTTCATCTCCCTCCACCATTTCCTCTAAGAACACTTCTAAACCCCACTACCTAGTAACTCTTATCTCAGTAAGAAGCTAAAGATACCAACAACTATAAAGCTCTGATTTTGCAACACAACTGAGGTTGAGGTTTCATTCCAGAGCTCAACCCAAAAAAAAAAAAAAAACAAGTCATAAGAAGACAACCAAATTAAAGAACTACAACTCAGAATCTGTTAAGCACTGCGTACAACTCAGAATCTAGATAGAAGATAACTGGGGTTCAATACTTGAGAGCTTTTCACCAAAAAACAAAAGACTTGAGAGCTCAAGCCCAAAAAAGATCAGTTAACCTGGCCATATGATTAAGATGGTAGAATGGTAACTTATCATCTACAGGGCACAAATAAAGACATGATCCACAATGGGTGTTTCAATAATGATGCTTATCAAACACCAATCAAACCTTAGTCATATAATTATCAAACAGGACATCACACATCTAAGTGATGCTACATTTGGACCAACTTTGACGCAGAACTAATCCCAAGCTCTATATCTACTAGCAAACGCTCAAAATTCATCTTTCATTACACAAACAAAGGATTACAAATAAACTTAAGATTCAAATTTCAGTCTAACAATGATAAACCAATGAACCAGTTCAGAAATTCTTCAATGATACAACAAATATACACAAACTACAAAAGTGATTCATAAGATTGAATTAGTTCAGAGCCAAAGTTCCATTACCCGAGAATTCGAAAAAGTTCCAAAACCATAAGAGCCTCCACAATTGCTACTATAAGACCCCCTTGGCCTCCATGTACCTCCACATGTACCAAGACCCAACAGACCTATAAGGCCTCCATTTCTCACACAACTGCTCCATCTCCAATGGCTTCGGCAACTCCTTCAAACCATACAGTAACTGCACTCCTTTCCTCACACCGAGATCGCCGACCGGAAGCACATCCGGTCTGCGAAGTGAGAAAATCATGAACATGTGGACCGACCAAGCCCCAATTCCCTTCACCACGGTGAGCATTGTGAGCAGACCCTCATCGTCCATTTCCAGAATAGCAGAATCGGACAAAGTCCCATCACTGTACTTCTCGGCCAAGTCATGAAGATACGAAGCCTTTCGGCCCGAGACGCCGATATTTCGGAGCTGCTGGGCCGAGAGCGATGCAACGACGTCGGCGACCACCGATTCCTCGCCTCCGCAGAGCGAAATGAATCGGGTGTAGATCGATTGAGCGGCTTTGGTGGCAAGTTGCTGGTAAAGAATGCCTCTTGCGA